CAGGGGTGTCAAACTCACAGTGTCACATGATGTATCGGGACTTTTTTCCCCTTTGTGGGGGGGCGGGGCCAGCAAATGACGCATCCAGCCGTGAGTTTGACACCCCTGGTCTAGATCCTCCCAATTGGAAAGAAAGGTAATATTTCACAGCAGGGAGTTCTGATAACAGGGGTCATTTCTGCCTATCATCAAGCTGAAGATTCCAACGCATATTTTCATAGTCTAGAAAAGTTGGGAATGAAGGCTAAAAGAGACATTATTTCATGTTTACTGTTTAGTTCTGCCTATCCACTTGTGCTGTTCCTCTGTCATGTCTGCAGGTTGTCATGCCAAACACTCCTTCTGTGATTCAAATCCATGCAAGAACAGTGGCACCTGTATTGTGGGCTGGTCTTCCTTTATATGTGAGTGTCCCATAGGCTTTGGAGGCAAGGACTGCAGACATGGTGAGTATAATAGAGAGGGCTGGAAAGCACTGTGAAGCAGTACATAAGTCTAAGTGCTATTGCTATAATACAGAGCAAGCTGAATGGACAATTGAGCATAGAAGAAGATGGTTTGACATTGTAATGGGAATACAAACTAGAAAATAGGGCCCCAAGAAAGGAAGGAAGTGGCTGCGTGACCAACAACTTAGTTTACAGAGAAAGATAGCTAATAGTGTTCTTGAAATTGGCCAAAAAGAAACAAATAGAAATGGCTTTGTTGAGTATTTTCTGATGTTCCAAGGGATACTTCATAATCACATTTAGTCTTCTATAAATTGCTACATGTTTGTTTCATCAATGAAGTCTATCTACAAAGAAAACCTTATCTACTGAATTTCCAGTTAATTTTGTGAAAGTTGGAATTCCTACTCTCTCTGTACTCATTCTTTGAACTCCTAGTGACAAGTTTGGATAGAAAAAAGTTCTACCTTCCCATCACCTCAGTCCAACAATGAAGGCTTACAATTGGGCATTGGCAGCCTGCTATAACATTAGACACTCGTAAAGGATTTCATTTTGAAGCTGGAAGAAAGCATAATTCAACATATTTATGTGCTCTTTCCTATAGACCAAATAGGCAAATGGTGGTTTACTTAAGTATTCATAAGCATGTACAAAATCTAGAATAAAAAAAAATCAGTCATGTGAAACTGTGTAGTTCAAAGTTCTAAAAGCTATTTTGTAGATTTTCAAATATATTCCCTTTGACGCTGCCTGTCTACAAGGAGTGGACAGATCAGTTTATTTCTTATCTCTTTCATACACATATTCTTTTTATTTATTTAAGCATTCATATCTTGCCTATCACATCTATAATTCTAAGTATATATGTGTGTGTGTGTGTATGTGTGTGTGTGTGTGCATGTGTGTGTTTTCTTAATGGTTGTGTTTAAAATAGTATTTTTTTCAAATGGCAAATTACTGTAAGAAATTTATATAATTTCTTACAGTAATTTGCCATTTGAAAAAATACTATTTAAACACAACCATTTTTAAGAAAAATGTTTTCTCCCAAGTCTGAAAGATTTCTGAATATATTTCATCTTAAAATATGCATTTTGATATGCAATTTGGCATGTTTTTTGAGCTAAGAGCTACATTGCAAAATGCAGAGGTGTGAAATCTGAGGGGTTAACAGTGTTCCAATCTGTTTGCATGTTAATTGGAAATGTGCCAATCTGTTGGTTGTTTTTAAATACAAATTGAACAAAACCTTGGGCATCTGTATTTAATACTCTTCAGTTTCTGCTATGGAAGCCTAGGCATTTTAAGCAAAATTATATTTCCAACCCCATGCAGATTATTATGATATAAATGTCTCTGATGTAAAAGTAGGGACTTCAAGCTTCCCCCACCCTGAGCTTTTCTCTGCTTCATTGAATTCCAGCATCCTCTTATCATCTTTTTCTCTAGCTATGCATCATCCTCACCATTTCCATGGCAACAGCATCCTTTTCTGGGACTTCAGGAATGAAGTTAAGATTTCTACACCTTGGTATATGGGCCTAGCATTCCGGACACGCCAGGCAAATGGAGTGTTACTTCAGGCCAATGCTGGCCAGTACACAACCATACTATGTCAGGTACCTACAATGTAGCTGCTCTGGATCTGAGCTGCTATAAAACCTTGCATCCAATGTTCTGTGAGGCAGTCATATCTGTTTGTTTTTAAACTGAGCTCTTTTGATGTATCAGATATGGAACAAGTATAGCAGCAATAGTTCTCTTTTATAAGAGAATACCGGGACCCCACAGATTTGTAATGTCCTACTATATTTAATGGCACTGTTCTATTTCGCGTCAGAGTAGAAAGACTTATTCTTAACTGGAATAACTCACCATCTGTTTGTAGAGCATTTGTGAAAAATTATGTGAAGTGCCTGAACTGTCATAGCCTTACTCATAAAACAGAATTTGCTCTGTGCTAACTATGCTATATCTTTAGCTGGAGTCGGGCCTGCTCTCCTTTATGGTGAATAGGGGACCTGGACGCACTGCCAAGATTCTTCTGGATCAAATGCTGTTGAATGATGGAGTGTGGCATGACCTCCAATTCCATCTACAAGATGCTCGAAGTGGCCATGAGGCACGTTACATTATCACCCTCAGTCTGGATTTTGGATTCTACCAGGTAAGCTTTGAGGCTGAAGGGAAAAATATCCACACTGGGAGAAAAACTACTTAGATTAGGGCTTACATTCTTCCCTATGGTTCTATATTTCCACGCCTCCAACAGTGTTGTTGACAAATTCAGGACCCTCAGTTTGACAATTAACTGTCCTTCTGTCTATCTAGTTGGGATCAAAGCTGATGCCCCTGTTTTTGTCTGCATTTTTCTTGGTGGCATTTGAGGAAATTTTGTTTCCATAGTTTCACCGAGTATGGATGGTGGGGAACTAAAAAGTTAACTGATAGATCCAAGTAAACAGTGGTGAGCAGCACGTACCATTCCCATTCCTTGTATTTCTTTTCTAAAGGATACTGTGGTCATTGGCAATGAGCTTCAAGGCCTGAAGGTGAAACATCTCCATGTTGGGGGAATCCTAGAGTCTGGTAAAGTGCATCATGGTTTCAAAGGCTGCATCCAGGTGAGTTCCAGCAAACTTCCAAATATCAAGGTTTCTCCATTTTTCTATCTCTTTATTCGGAGAGGAGAGCATTCCCTAAAGGAAATTAAAACTCATTCAGAAGCCAAAGGCAACAATTGTCATTGATTCTTTTTTCTATTTCTTTCCTTTTTCTTTTCCTTTCCTTCCTTTCTTTTAAAATGGCAATAAATCTCATAGACCATGATAATTAAGATCTCTGAATAATCAGAAAACCACAAGATCATTTTGCAAAAGTTACTCAGTAGTTTTTGCACGCTGATGCCCTCACTTGAAAAGGTTGACAAAAATCATCCATTACAATGGAGAGCTAAAAGTCAGTAGAAAGTATTCTTGGTAGACTATGCTAGCCTAAAGAATCCAATGTTCTGAAATTCTTTCCATTAGAATGCAAACCTTTTGGTGCAAACCTGAGCTTTATTTTCCTTTTTTTTGCCCGCCCTTTGGGTTTCAGGGAATTCATCTAGGTGACACAGCCCTGGGAAATGCACTGCCCAAGCCCGGCAGCACTGTGAATGTAGAGGCAGGATGTACTGTGCCCAACCCTTGTGAATCCAACCCTTGTCCTGCCAACAGTATATGTCAGGATCAGTGGCAAAGCTTCTCCTGTGTATGCAAGCCAGGTAGGAGATGGATGAACAGCTCAGACTACAAATCTTGTTTTGGTCTTTATTTCCCCATTTTCCTTGTTCCGTTTTGTTTCATGCTGTGATCTTTTTCTGTATATTCTGTACCATGTACTTTTGTACCCACCACATTGTCTTTCTTTTTGTTGATGTTCCTGAAGATTCTCCCTGTGCCCCAATAAAAGCCACCCATCTCTATCAGTGGTGGGATTTAAATTTTTTTACTACCAGTTCTGTGAGCGTGGCTTGGTGGGCGTGGCAGAGGAAGGATGCTGTAAAATCTCCAGCCAGAGGTAGTATTTGCCAGTTCTCCAAACTACTCAAAATTTCCACTACCAGTTCTCCAGAACTGGTCAGAACCTGCTGAATACCCACCTCTGATCTCTGTCCAAAAGGGTAGACATAAAGAGATCATTATGCAATGGTATTTTCTTCTAAATGTGAACAGACCCTTGACCAAAGATTGGTACACTCCTTCTATTTGGGATGCTCATCCTCTTCCACCAAGCGCACTGCTTTGGGGGGGATGCACATGGAGCGGTGAGAGAGGGAGGGGACTCCCACCTAACCAGCCAGATCAGTCGAATCAACACTGGCAATCAATGGGTTGACAGATGCCACATCCAGGAAGCATACAATGGTTTCAGAATGTTGGCTTTTGAGGAAAATCCACCAGGAATTGAAGCGAATCAAGGATGAGGGGTGGGGTCGGGTAGGCAGCATGAGGGAAATATCCTCTTAGTTTTGAATGTGTAATCATGCCCCTCCATTTGGTCATCTCCCAATGATTTCATTTCCCCAAGATTTTTACATGACACCTAGCCATTCTGAAATTAGAACGAATATCCAGTTCAGTGATCAAATGAGCCAAAACATGCAAATTAAACAGGTTTGGATGATATACCTATTGTGCCTTTGGCTTTTTTTCTTTTTCTCTTTTTGTAAGTGTAATTTGAGGCTGGAAAAAAGAAAGGGGAAAGAGAATGGATGTAGGTTTCACAATGCCCTGTGATGACCCATTTTAATAATAATTAAAAAAAAACCACCAGGCTTTGTTCATGTTGCCCCTCTTTAAAAACCTTTTATGATGTGGATGTGAGGCATTAATATTGAGATGCGACCCTCCCTGTATTTTATTCTAGGATATTATGGTGGGAGTTGCCTGGATGCCTGTCAGCTGAACCCCTGCAAGAACAAGGCAATGTGTAAGCGAAAGCCAGGTGCTCCCCATGGTTATATCTGTGAGTGTGGAGAAAATCACTTTGGACAGTACTGTGAGCACAGGTGAGATCAAGGACAGTTTGTGGATTTTAGCCTCTTGTGGATCTAAGAAATGCTATTCTCACATCGAGATAGAATTTTCCACTCTGGGGACTCTGTTGTCACTAGCAATTAGGGGCAGAATGATGGGGAAATTAGCCTCTGATCATAAAATTTTCTCTCTGGGTATCCTTTTGCTTCTCATCTAACACCTGACTTAGATAACACTTGACACAATAAATTTGCACATTGAAAGCTCTGTTGTAGTTGTGTCCTGAAAATAGCAAAAACAGAAGAGTCTCGAGCTATTCATTGTCAGGGGTCTGTGTTCAGCTTAACAGGTCCCGCGGTAGAGTAAAGATTGGATGTAGCGACATGAGGTAGAGGTTGCATAAAAGTGAGATGGGCAGCTATATAAATCAAGCAAATAAATAGCCTAAATAAAGGAAGATGGTAATCGTTGTCATGTGAAAAGAAGACCTTAAAGTTCTATATACCTTTGGTTTAAAAAAAAAACCAAAGGTTTGATAATAGCCAGTATTTTCAATGTGCATAATTGGTAATGAAAGACACGATGATAGGCTATAAGGAAGGCATCTTCTCTGCATTTTATCATCCTTCATTGCCTTCTTGCCCAATTGTCACAAGCAAAATTAAGTGATTGTTTTGAGAACACTTGTCTTTCTTGCGTGATTGTTTCATCTAATGGAAGGATGGGGAGAAAGTTGGGGATACGAATGAAAAATAATAATATCCAATGACACATGTCTTTATTCATGCTGAATATACCCTGCAAAAGAAATTCTGTGTCCGGGGAGCCATCCCTTGGAGTTGCCCTCCATGCCATTTCCGGTCACTGAATGGACCATATCCCCAATTTCTGTTGACCCAGAGACAGAGCAAGGAGTACATGGTTGCTGTTATTTGCCGCTTCGTCAAATGTCTGTGTTTTATGTTGGGAACAAAAACAATGCTTTGAGCAAGACTGAAGCATTTTCCCGAAGAATGCTTGCTTAGTGCTATTATTTGTCCAGTGTTCTGTGGCTTCTGCACCATTCAAAAACAAAATGAATAAATAAATAAAAAAATCAAGAATAGTTACATCTGTTGATTGTGGGTCCCACAGTGATCCTATCAGTACTGAGAAACATACAACTAGTAGGAATTAATTTCATGATGACATCACAAAGCTAGAGATGCAACTAATTAATTCTGGATTGGGCAGGTAATTTTGTTGTGTTAACACAAACTCTTAAAAATGCCTAAGGCAGGGGTTCTGAAGCTGTAGGTTGCAACCCACAGAGGTCAGGGTCAAATGTGAGGAGACGTTGCAGATATTTTTGTCCTTGCGCACGCAGTGCTGCATCGTTTTCAGAAGTTGCTCCCAATTTTCCCGAAGAAGCTCAAAGTAAAATCATGACCTTTTTTTTAACAATTGCTTCTATAAAAAACAATGCATGCCCAAAATAAACAGGGATATGGCACAGGAGCATCTCAAAAATCCAAATTTTAGGAATTATGAAAAACCAAGCCAGCTTACTCTTCAAATATGGTTTGAAATTTAATGGCTTTGTTAATTTTTCTTGAAAAAAATATTTTATAAATCTATAAAGCTCTATCCTTGGTTTATCTGATATATCAAATTCAGTTATTCGAAAAGAATACAGGTAATCCTTGTTTAGCTGGGATTTGTTTAGCAACCTTTCACAGTTTTACAACGGTGATGAAAAATTAAATTACGTGACCAGTCTTCACATTTATAACCTTCACAGGTCTGTAAAAAGCAAACGAAAGCTGAAGTGAGGCCATAAACACTGTTTCACTAGGCAACTCCTTTGTTTAACAACAACCAAGTTGCTGGTGCCAACTGTAGTTGCTAAATGAGGACTACCTGCATTCCTCTCTTGTCCAATCCTAGCCCGCTCCCATCACTAGTTTTATTCATGTGGTTGGAGGTGTCACACAAATGTTACATGATCCTAGAACTACATTGTTTGAGAACTCCTGGCCTAAACACAGAATTTTTTTGTGATTGCGTCCCTCCTCCCAGACAAACACCAAAAGGGATGATTTTCCCATAGACCCTTGCATTCCAGAAGTTTGCCAAAGTACAATGCCCGTAACAATTAATTTTTTTAAAAAATTTATCCAACATCCCATCGCAAACTTATCATAATACGGTATATTTCCACTTGCTGCAAGAGCAACAATGAACTAGTGGCCTGGATGCGAACATCCATCCACCTGACTTTTTTCCCTGCAGGATGGATCAACAGTGTCCCAAGGGCTGGTGGGGGAATCCAACATGTGGGCCCTGCAACTGCGATGCAGCCAAGGGATTTGACCCGGACTGTAATAAAACCAACGGGCAATGTCATTGTAAGGTGAGGGGAGAGATATGCCTGTTCTGGAACTCTCTGCCATTAATAGATTCTGATGCAACATCACCTGCCCGTCACCTGCAGTATTGCCTTTCATCTCCATTCTTGGCTCTTTGTTCACCTTCCATTCATTCCTGGCTTTTGGGAGGGCGGGGGGGTTCTACATCTTTCCCTAATGTCTACTTTCTGTTTCTTTCCTGCTTTGCTTTCGGAACCCATATGGGCTCTGCTCACTGGGTTCTTGTACCATCTTTCTTTCTTCCTTCTTCTCCCAGCCTGTCTTCCTGCCATGCCAGCACACTACTCCTTGTCCTCAGCCCAATGTTGCAGGACTCAGAAAAGAGGTCTAAATGGTTGAGTGTCTTGTGGGAATGAATCTTTAGGGAAATGGCTTTTCATTCTGATGCCTCAAGATAGTGCTGGATGGGGAAGAGCCATAGCAGATGATATCTGAAAAGTATTGTAGGAGCTCCAAAGGGACTGACTTTTTTTTTTTTTTGTAATGTAAGAAGAATCTGTCCGTGCTGCTTTTTATATCTTTCTAATCTTACTGGTTGGATTGGCTATCAGTAGTTTCCTAATAATGGCCCTCTTTTTATCCCACCAGGCCCCCCCATTTCTCCTGCTGTTTCACTAGGCTCCTTGTTTTGGCCCTTTCCCCCTGCCTGCAGTCTTGTCAATCCTTCTCCCCTACTGCTCCTCCTCCTGTGACCCAGCTCTCTAACCACCTTCCCCGCCCCTCTCCCTTCTTCCACTAGGAATTCCATTACCACCCGAAAGGGAGCGACACCTGCCTGCCTTGTGACTGCTATCCCGTTGGCTCTTCCTCACGGTCCTGTGATCAGGAAATGGGTCAATGTCACTGTCGGCCAGGTGTGATTGGCCGACAATGCAACAGTTGTGATAATCCTTTTGCAGAGGTGACTCCCAGTGGCTGCCGGGGTGAGTGTGCACTGAAGATGGATGGATGGATGGATGGATGGATGGATGGATGGATAGATGATAGATAGATAGATAGATAGATAGATAGATAGATAGATAGATAGATGATAGATAGAAGATAGATAGATAGAAAGATAGATAGATAGATGATAGATAGATTGATAGATGATAGATAGATAGATAGATAGATAGATAGATAGATAGATAGATAGATGATAGATAGATAGATAGATAGATAGATAGATAGATAGATAGATAATAGATAGATAGATAGATAGATAGATAGATAATAGATAGATAGATAGATAGATAGATAGATAGATAGATAGATGATAGATAGATATGTAGATAGATGATAGATAGATAGATAGATAGATGACAGATAGATGACAGATAGATAGATATGTAGATAGATAGATATGTAGATAGATGATAGATAGATAGATAGATAGATAGATAGATAGATAGATAGATAGATGATAGATAGATAGATGACAGATAGATAGATATGTAGATAGATGATAGATAGAGAGATAGATAGATAGATAGATAGATAGATAGATAGATAGATAGAGAGATGATAGATAGATATGTAGATAGATGATAGATAGATAGATAGATAGATGACAGATAGATAGATATGTAGATAGATAGATATGTAGATAGATGATAGATAGATAGATAGATAGATAGATAGATAGATAGATAGATGATAGATAGATAGATAGATGATAGATAGATGACAGATAGATAGATATGTAGATAGATAGATAGATAGATAGATAGATAGATAGATAGATAGATAGATGATAGATAGATGATAGATAGATAGATGACAGATAGATAGATATGTGGATAGATGATAGATATAGATAGATAGATAGATAGATAGATAGATAGATAGATAGATAGATAGATAGATAGATAGATACAATGTCTAAAATATCTGATGTACTGTCTTTAGTATTTCATTTTTTTGGAACCAAACCCAATCAATTAATATTGATGAAGACTATTTTCACATTGTCAGGAAAAAAAAAACACATTACCCAAAAGAAGGATTATAAGATGCCCAGAATTGTTGCAGAGTCAGGTGGCTTCAAATTTGAAAAATAAAAATCTGAAAATACATTTATGGCCGTACATATAATTTTTGAAACCCACCCCCGATAAGGGATGCTGGAGATGGAATTCAGCAACATTTAGAAGCTACAAGTTCCACACTTCTAAAATGGGAATGATGTCAAATAAAAGGCTGGCTTTTCTAAAACAAAGAAAACATGCATGTATTTTCAATAAAGATAACACAGAACACTGTGCCCAATCAGTATATTCATTGCCTGAGGCCAAATTTCAGAAAATTCAGTCTTTTTATAATATATGCCTCTCTTTTAAAATAACTATTTTTAACCATTTTCCCAACAGTCTTATTTTTGGAAAACTTGTTTGTATTAGAGGTTTCTTCATCCTTCAGTTTGCTTACTATACGTGTTCTAGCTACAAGAAATATACACATACAAAATTTATGCTTTTATACATTGTTCCAAAGTAAAACACTTCAGCTTTTTTGCATCCTAATCATTATTCAATTTATTGTAAAACTTTCCCAAATACATTTGGATTTAATCGTAAGGTCTCCATACATTTTTCAACATAAGACGTTTCTCCCGGTCCCTGCCTTGTGAGCGATCTTGTATGGATTGTATGGATCACAACTGATTTGCTTTCTCTGTTTCATTCCACAGTACTCTATGATGCTTGTCCTAAGTCTCTGAAAGCTGGAGTATGGTGGCCTCAAACCAAGTTTGGCCTTCCAGCTATACTGCCTTGCCCAAAAGGTTCACAAGGTAAGTGTTTTCCTATTGTAATACAGTTTATGGACAGAAGAGCTGTATCCCATTATATTTCAGCTTTGTCAAGGAACTACAGTACACATACCTTTTTCACTAAGTCACTCCATGTCTTTCTTCTCTCCACACAACTTCTTCTTTCAGCACTGGCCTGATTGTCAGCAATTAATATTATTAATATAGGTTTGAAGGCCTTGGAGTTTGTGAAGTAAAAACCCAAGGTGTTTTCCTGGCAATTTATGTGATTGATTGCTATAGTCAGTGGTACCCTATTGTTGATTATGAACTCATCCTAAATCTCACAAGGATGAAATTTAACTAATAGTTTAATAAGTTCTCAGGAGCAGAGGTTCTTCTACCATAACTACTTCTTTCTCTTACCTTTCTGGTGATGGTGATAGTAGTACAAAGGGAGCCAGTTAAAGCTACTGAAACCTTCAGGCCCTGGTAGACTGTGGGCAATGAAGCATCTAAAAAACTTTGCTCTGGGGAGCTGAGAGTGAGACGGAAATAGCCATCAAATCCCCTATTAAAGCCACTGCACCTGTCATGGTTGCCGTTAGCAAGGAAGACTGGTGGTAAAAGGATTTATTAGTGGGAGGCCTCTTGGCTTTTTTATATTCCTGCTGTTGTTATTGGCAACCTGATGGCACCTTACCTCTAAATGGGTCAAATTTTCACATCTTTTTACTTCCTGTGCCAGGAAGTGATCCCTTACTGATTATCTTCCTTTTGTTCTTAGCGATGATGGAATAGCAATAGCAGTTAGATTTATACACCGTTTCATAGTGCTTTACAGCACTCTCTAACAGGTTTACAGAATCCTCATATTGCCCCAACAATCTGGGTCTTCATTTTACTGACCTCAGAAGGATGGTCAGGATTGAACTCCTGGCAGTGAGCTGAGTTAGCCTGCAATACTGCATTCTAACCACCACACCACCATGCAGTTAATTGGACGATTGGACAACACACTATATGCATTCCCAAATCTGGGTGTGCTGGTACAGTTTTAGATTAGCTTGGTCTATTAGGCCCAAGGATATGATATTCCACCCCCTGCTCCCAAACACACACTCTTCAGAATGTTTACCAACAGAATAGGTAGTACAATCACCTCATTTAACTCACTGCTTGCTTAAATCAAGAAATGTTTGGGAGCTGGAATCCCATGTTGGTTCACCTCACTAAATGTTACACAGAAGTCAGAATTTCCCAAAGTACAGAAATCCATTCCAGGGAAGGTCATTCTCCATCAAATATATTGCTTAAAAGCGTTTAATGTTGTCCCTTTTCTCCACATTTTTCTTTTGTGCAGGTTTGCGAGGTACAGGTAAGGCCTGTGGCTCTCCCGCTTTTCCCTTCCTGCTTTGTCAGCACTGCTCTGTGTGGCTTTTCCATTCCCTGCTCCTGCCTAAGGCACCATCAGATCCACATTTCCCTCAGATGCTCCACGGGCTGCTGGCTCTGTTTTGATTGCCTTGCCTGGCTCTGGTTTCTTTGTAATCCTGCCTGACCTTCAGCTTCTTTACCTTGTCACATAACACTAATCTGCAGAAAATCCCTTGTAGTCATCTGCAACCCGCTCACGCTTATTTGTAGCACCTTGATGCTTTTTATGGATTTAGAGAAATTTTAATTGGTGGGGAAGTCTGGAGCTCTAATGTCATATTTTGGTGACAGATGCATTTGGTTCCCCTGCTTGCTTATGGGCTCTGGTTAAGAGAAGAGTGACATTTGGCACTCCAATGTTGTTGAAAACGTGATAAAGAAACTAAGTAAGACTTTCATGAGGAAGTGAACAGCTTCCTGTAGTGTTGGCTGTCTTGATTTCAGCTGGTTAGGAAAAGTAGAGAAATTGCTGTTTCACTTCATCAAAGGAGTTCTATCAAAATATTATACATGCTGCCAGTCCCTGCTGTAGGGTTTACCTTTCAAAACCACAAATAAAATTGCCATAGGTGTCACTTTAGAGAAGGAAAGAGCACACTGAGATTTTTTCCCCCTGCAAGAACAAATAGAAATTTGTCTGCTATCTTGTAAACTCAGTTTTGGACACCATTATGTCCTTTATATTTTAACAACGATATTTTCTTCAGATAATCAGGCTAGCTTTTTGATGGATGATGCCTTTCTGCATCCCATGGTCTCCTCAAGTATGTGGAATCCAGTACTTTCTTCCAATAGCATGGTAGCTGAGGATGATCAGCGTTTGAGACTTCCATATCAATTTAGAAACCAGACTGGAGAAATCAGGTCTTATAGTATTGGCTTGTTTCATTCAGTGCTGCATGTTAAAATTTTCAGCTCTTAGTGGGGAAATATATTTCCTATTTCTTTGAAAAGAGAACTTTCTGAGTTTATCTGCCTGAGATCCTGTTACAAGATGTATTAAAGACTTAAGATCCTGACCATTCAAAATTAACTTGCTGCCACATGAAAAATTTAAGGACTCCTGAAGATAAATCAATGCAATAGTGGCAATAAATCAATGCGCCTGATTTGGTTTGTGAATAGTCTGTTGAATGTTGAATAGTCTGTTGAATACTCTGCTGGAACAGAGTTTAAATGCGAGAGCAGAAATTTAACATTTTAAGTATATGTTTGGAGGGATGGAGGGAATCCCACCAGGGGTGGGATTCTACCAGCTCACACCTATTCACTAGAACTGGTTGTTAACATTCTAAGCAGTTTGGAGAACTGGTTGTTAGAAGAAATTACTGGCCTAATCCTGTAAGGAAGGCAGGAAGGAAACATGCTGGTGTTGCTTACAGAAATTGCCTCTCCGTTAACCCTAATTACATTCTTGGTAGGACTGGACTTCCTGTTTCAGGAACATCTCTGGAATTTTTCCCCCTCTTTTGCTGGTACTTTGCTTGTGTGGAGTGACCATTCAAAGTTACAATGGCACTGAAAAAAGTGACTTATGACCATTTTTCACACTTACGACTGTTGCAGCATCCCCACAGTCATGAGAGGCCAGGCGAGGAGATGCGTGCCTCGATGTGAGTGATGTTGAGTTGGCCACACCCAGCCAATAACATGACCACCAAGCCATGTCCACCACCTAAGCCATGCCTACAGAACCGGTTGTTAAAAAATTTGAATCCCACCCCTGGATCCATCATGCTTGACCCTAGCAGAACATACACATTTCAACTTGTAAAGCAGCAAAGTGACCTGCTACATTTGGCATTAACAAGGATTCAACTGTTCTCATATAAATATCTTTCCCATCCAGATCATTGCCGAACACACTTCTAGCAGATGGTGCAGATCATGCACAAAATGTTGCTGTTTCTGATACTGATTTTAGCGTTATGAATGTCACAGTGCTCCCTTTAGGTACCTGTGCTTCATTTGTGTAGTTATAGATATAGAAGAGGTGCATCTTCTATTTTTGTGATCCTGGTGGTATTTAAATATTCTAGAAAGCTGCATGGCCTATGTCACAGATATGGAGAATTGCATCCTTGTGTCCTATTTCTTAAACAATATTTGGGACTGTCACATTTCTTTGTTTTAGACTCATAAATACTGAATCTGTAGAATGTTTAAGTACTTTAAAAAAAAAGAATGCAGGCACTGGTTTGGCTAAATTCTTCATAAATACTCTACACTATTTTCACTTGTAATGTTGTTGTTGTTGTTGTTGTTGCGTAAAAGGCAACTTCTAGGGATGGTGATGTGGCAAGAGTAACTGGGGAAAAAAATCATGCTAAACCTTTCTGTGCTTAACATCTTATGCTTCAAATTGTCTAGTTCTATTGAGTCATTTATACTTATGGATGGAAATGTGAGGCTGCATTCACAGTATGGATGCTAATATGTCATGTGCACCTGTCTTATCTGTTCAATCATTGGACTTGCTACATTGGGTGGCAAATCTAGAATCTGGAGTCATTTTCCAGGCTAGTTTCTATTATTATGAAAAAGTAAAAAGTTGAGGGTAGATGTTAATGCCTTATTTTACTGCACCAAAGTCAATGCCTTTTTTTCTCTTTTTTCCTTGCTTTCCCTTGCATTATCCACTTCCCTTTATCCTTCTCCAATTTCCGTAATATTTACTTTTGTGTTCTCTTTGTATGTCATATTATAAATCAATTTTAAAAAGTATTGTTTTTAGCATCTGGAGTCATTTTCTCCAAAACTCTAGTGATGTTTGGTACTTGCAGCAGACACTCTGTTCATGTTAAAGTGAATATAATCCTCTTCAGATCTTGCTGCCTGGTACAACATGCCATGACAGCAATAGTAGGGGATACAAGTACACATAGGAAAAAATGTTGGGAGTTTGTTTAGAATGAATGAAAACAGTTCCCTGTTTTTTTAAAAAATCTCACAGCTATGTACATCTAGAGACAGATTTCTAGCACTCTCTTGCATAGTTCCTTTTGAATATGCTACATAATTTCTCCACCAATTTACTCATTCTTAGACAAAGATTAAGTTTCATTCAAGAAAGTGTTCATCATATTTATCCCATACAATGAGCTACATTACCAATGAAATATTGCTAACACTATTTTAGCAAAGCATTCTAGTCAAAGATTTGACAAATGTTCACTTTTGCTTTCAGTGAACGATGTGTTTTTTAATTTCAGTAACATTTGACATCAGTAAATGTAGGGAACACAGGTTTTCTTTTGGCAACTCCAATTTTAGAAAGATCCAGTTCATTCTCAACTGTACACAAATTGGAAAAAGAAAGGTGGCATTCAGAGACTGATAGGAAAAAAATAGCAAGTAAATATAGATGTATTCAGTAAAGCTTCTAGCAGTTTTGAAAGAAATTATTGGAAATATCAGGTTCACACAATGTGATATTTGTTCTTTATTTTTATTTTTTTTTATCACCAAATATTTAGAAGGTATTGTGCCATATCATATCTTAGACATTGGTAACATGATAAATGATTTCATTTCTCAGTAATTCTCCCAGCATGATAATAATTAAATCCAGCATTTGGGAGGGCCTCATAAAACCTAAATTAGTGGAAATGAAATCAAAGCTACCATCATAGCGAATAACATACAGCTGCTGCTGAAGCGTCTGTCGATCCTCCTCTGGATCTGTTCCCTTCATTGGTTGGTTTTTAGGGTTAGTGAAATTGCCAAAATGCCATTGAAAAATCCACGCTGTTGGTCTAGTGCTGTGGGTTTTAGCCCTGATGCTCTTTTCCTGGGCAGCAACCACAGGAAAAGAGCTGTGGTTTCCAATTACCACTATTTGTAAGTTTCCACTTTTAAGTTGACATTTTGTCTCGACTCAGGTGCAGCGGTTCGATATTGTGACCAGGAGAGAGGCTGGCTGGAACCGGATCTGTTCAATTGCACTTCCCCT